CAGACAGACGAAAACTGTGTTTTTTTTTGAGTAACGTGTATACTTTCATATACATTTAGTAAAAAGCTGTTATTTTGACATTACAAACAGCGACTTCAATTTTATTTATTTTTCTGTGTGAGCGTGTGTTTTTCGGTCCGAATCACTGACCTCTATACATACAAGGACGCTGGACTGGCTATACACCGTGACGTGAAGAGTCGATTTGATTTGCGCTATTTTGGCGCTGACAGCAGAAGTTGTCCACGAAACTAATAATAGGGATAAGACAGTGTGACAAAATATATCGATAAAAATTCTATATCCTACCTATACTTAAATAAATAGAATAGACTCTATAGATAGATGGCCTCTACCAGGAACGTCTATTCTATTAATGTATCATATTAATATAAAGATATTATCATTCATCATCACTAAACCCCTTCACAAGTCCCCTGCTTAACATAGGCCTCCCACTAGGAATGCTACAAAGCCTGAGCCACCTGCATCACTGCACAACTTCCTGCATGTCTTACCAGGTTCTAACTCCATCTAGTAGGGGACGTCCTACACTTTACATGCCGGTACGAGGCTGCCACTCGAGAACCTTTTTTCCCCATCGGTTATCAGTTCTTCGAGATACATTTATTTATTTATTTAACTTCATATACACATTAGATGTATATAGGCGGACTTAATGCCTGAGGCATTATCTACCAGTCTACCTTAGAGTAGTGCAGAGAAGAAGTACATATATATATATATATATATATATATATATATAAACCCATACATATATAAGCGTATAAATATATACATATATAAAATTATGTAAGTATATATACATAAAACTAAATACATATATATATATATACATACATACATACATACACACATATATATTAAATATAATATTAAACACGGCTAACTACGAACGCTAAATTGATTCTGCCATAGACGAGCTTTCTCGCACTTTAGATTTGAACGAAATCCGGTTTTCGGCACTCCTGATTTCGGAAGGAAGAGCGTTCCAAAGAAGAACAGATTGAACAAAGAACGATGATTGTACAAAATTAGTACTAAAAGGGGGCACTGAAGCAAAAGGTTATTACTAGAACGGAGAACTCTATCATGGTTGGAGCTAAGATATTGAAATTGAGGAGTTAAATAAGATGGAGGATTAGGAGACATCAAGATAGAATAAAGAGTAGTGAGTGCACGTAGACTACGGCGCTGGCGAATGGCTAACCAGTTGAGTTGAGAGCGATAAGTAGACACATGATCATACTTTCGAAGATTAAAAATGAATCGAATGCAGTTATTAAGAAGACGGTCATATGTTCAAGAATTCTGCATTCAGGTCAAAATAACACACATCATCATAGTCAAAAATGGGAAAAATTAAGGTCTGCACAATAATCATCTTGGTCCTGGACGGGAGAAAGTGCTTCAGGCGGTAGAGAGAACGCAAAATACCTGTCACTTTCTGACAAACATTTGCCACTTGAGTTTGCCAGCTCAAAGTGGAGTCAATGTGCAATCCAAGGTCTTTCACGGTATTACTCAGTTCTAAAATAAAACCGGTAAAAATGATCGGTGGTAAAGCTGTGGGATCCAGTTTCTTTATCATCCGTTGGCTACCTATTATTATAGCCTGACATTTGGATGGGTTAACTTTAAGACCAAACTTGTCAGACTAGTTCTTTATATACTCTAGGTCCCTATTAAGTGACTCAATTGCTGTAGATATACAGTCGACCTTCGCGTGTGAGTACAACTGCAAGTCATCAGCATACAAATGATACGCACACTGAAGATTTGGCGTAATGAGATTTATAAATATTGTAAATAACAACGGAGATAGAATACCGCCTTGAGGAACACCAGCATGCAAGTCACACCAACTTGGTGAGGACTCGTCAACGAACTGACTGCTGGCGGCCTCGAATATAAGAACCACTCCAAAGCCTCAGATGAGATCATAGAAAGTGAAAGGATTGATAATAGGATGTCGTGACTGATGGCATTAAAGGCGTTAGAGAAGTCAACCAAAACCAGTACTGTGACTTTAGTTTCCTCCATGCCTGCCCTAATGTCACCAGTGACTTTGAGGAGCGCGGAAACAGTGCTATGACCTAGCCTGAAATCAGACTGTAATGAGCTTAACAGGTTATTCGAGAAGATAAAATGTGATAGCTGTTTGTGTACACAAGCCTCTAGCACCTTTGATAAAAAGGGAAGAATGGATATAGGTCGGAAGTGATTAGGTAAAGAAGGATTAGAAATTTTTGGGAGAGGTATAATGTAAGCTTTATGCCACAGCGACGGAAAAACTCCAAAATCCAGAGAGAAGTTAATTATATGGGAAATAGCAGGGAGGAGATGGTCTATAATATTAATAATCATACGGCGACTGATATTGTCACAGCCAATAGAATTAGACTTAATGGAGAGTATAACCTTCCTGATCTCATTCGTAGCTATTGGAGAGAAGCGGAAAGGAGCGATATTAGGACGAGGTAAACCCATTAACTGATTAACAGTATGACACTTGATTTGGTGATCAAGAGGTGTATGTGAAGAGAAGCGTTGATTGATATCATCCAAACCAATTGTCCTCTGAAACTCAGAATTGGACTTCTTACCAATACCCATGGTTCAAAGGAACTTCCAGATATCTACGGGGGAAGAGGATATGATGTTGTTAAGAATATATCGGCGTTTTGCGTTGCGTGTCATCTGGTTACACTGATTTCTTGCAGTTTTAAAAATGGACCAATTTTCCTCACACCGCACCTTTTTCCATATTTCTGAAAGGCTCGGTCTCTACGCTTCATCACAACGCGGATCTCTGTTGTCATCCAAGGTGCTGGCAGCCGCTTTAGCTTTACTTTTTTAATAGGAGCATGCATATTATATAGATTAATTAATATGTTATTAAATGCGCTAACTTTTTCGTCTACCGTGGGAGCGGCTGTCACTGTGTCCCAGTTAATTTTAGAAGCATCCTGACACAACTTCTCTACATCCATACGGTCAAAACTACGCAAGTTCAGGAATTTAGGTGAGGGCTTAGGAGGTTTCAGGATATAGGAAATGAAAATGAGATCATGATGGGAGAAACCAGACGCATAATGTTGACCATGAGTAGAGACAAAGGTGGGGTTTGAGGTTAGCATTAAATCGAGCCACGTATCCTCCCCGTCCGCATTGTGGTGTAGAGGTAGAACATGAAGGCCAACCGACTCGTGGCTTGTAGAGGTAGAACATGAAGGCCAACTGACTCGATTATTTGAAAGAACTTATAGGAACGGGATGAGTGCGAAGCCAGCAGATTTGTATTAAAATACTCACACCCATGATCATGTGATATGAGTATTCTGACCCTAAAGAATCCAGAGTCGTTTCGAGTCTGGAGAAGTAATCAACAGAGGGGGGACAATATACAACACCAAGAACGGTTTTAGCTCCCTTTACACATACTTCAAGAAAAAGAAATTCAGCAGATGCGGAGTAAAAGGGCGAGGAGGAAACTAGAAGTTTATAAGATAAGTCACTGCGGAGTTATATAGCAACACCACCCCCTCTCTTATCAACCCGATCGTTACGTATCAAAGTGAAACCAGAGAAGGGGTAAGTGGTTGAAAGAAGATGGGGCTTCAACCAGCTCTCAGAAATCGGGATGGCATGAACGTTCACGTTAGTAAAGGCTTCAATGAGATCACTGTAGTGGCTGGGTACACTTTGTGCATTGATATGACACACATTTAGCGAAGAGCTAGACTGGTCAAATGTATGACGTAGAAAATCACCCAGCGTATCAGTTATGGAACAAAAACTATCGTCAATAAATGTAGTAGTTTCGTTGGCAGAAAAAAAGAATCATCATCAGCGTTCATAAAAATAAATATAGATTTATATATATATATATATATATATATATATATATATATATAGTATATGATATAAAATATATAAAATTAATTAAATTATTATTAAAACGTACCTAACTTAGGTTGTAAACCAAGGCGTACTGTCATCTCTGCACCACCCGCCAGCTAACATACGCACCTTAAATTACTAACTTATTAAATAATAAGCAAAATGTATTAAAAAGATAATGTAAAACACGAATCATATGTACGTCAAACACATAAGTATCGAATTGAGTATTACAACAGAGAGAAATTAAAAAAAAATAAACAGACAAAATTATTTCATAGAGTTAATCGGTACACAAAGTGTATAGACTATAAACTATAACACTACGTGACAGGTTACCGAAATTCTAAATATTACCCTTAAGTTGTCAAACGTCAAATTGGCATTACACTAGAATAGAAATGACAACTGACAATTAAATACAACATACAAAAGCATGTTTACATTGTAGTTCGAGAGAAAAATTAGCGAATATTATCTTAATAATACTCTCGATATAAATACGATATCCATGTTACAAGAACAAGAAAGGAGGATATAATTAGTTTAGAAAAAAAAAATACAACGCTTAGTACTATTTAGAAACCATTTTGGAGTTACATACCTATACTAGAAATAAAGCAAAATAAAATTGTATACATTTCACATTAAAAAAAATTAAAAAAATTGAGAAATTTTGTATTAAGGTAATGAAAAGTTAACACACGAAACCACAAACTTCATTTGTCGTCACTTACGAAGTTTTGAAAGAGGGTTCGTTGATCCCACAACTGCGGTCTTGCCAAGAGGTGTGAGCGCCGTGCCTCGGCAGTACTCAGGGTGCAAAGGCCCGTTTGTGCTTACGGCCGCACAATGATACAATGAAACGGTGCCGGGCCTGGGCGTCTCCCGCTAATTGGCGCCCAAAAATGGATGATGGATAAGATGGAAAACGTATAGGGCCGCTGCCTGGGGGTCGCCGGGGCGCGTCTGGAGCTGGCGCTGGACGCGGCAGCATGCGGGCCGCCAGCCGAGCGCGAGGAGCTGCAAGATCACCTAATAGCCCCCCGCATCCATCATCCCCACCAGACGGCTTGATGTCGGCAGGGTCCTCTCGGTCTCGGCAAGCGGCACCCGCCGCTGGTGGAGTGCGCCGCATGCGTTGGACAAGGGATATGAACGCAAACGCACTGCGGGCGTACTTTAGGGCAAAAAGGGGAAGAAACTGCGGATGGATAGCGTATCGGGCTCGGATGCATCGCTTTTTTGCTGAGCTGGAGCCGTCTATTCCCGTCACGGAACAAAACCTGGCAGACCGAGTTCGGTACATTATGCGCTCGAAAATATTCGATGACGCCGAGCTCGAACGACTACGACGTGAGGCCATTCCCTCATCGAATGAATTGGCTACGGCTGGGGATGAGGCTCCTCAGGCGGAAAGACTGATAAGCTTCAGGTCGGGTAATAATAGACCGAGGGTTGTGCGCACCGTTAGAATGGCGTATGCTGGGACAAATATCAGTTTGTCCCAGCCGGATATCACGCAGAAACTAACGGAGCGCATAGATGACCTGAAGCAAAAGATCGCCGCTTGGGGGAAGCGGATTCGCCGATTTACCGAGAGGTCAAGGCGGTTCAACCAAAATCGTCTTTTCCAGAGTGATCAGAAGAGGCTCTACAAATCATCGGAGCGACCAGAGGTATGTGGAGCGGGCCCAGGACCGGATCAGGCTAAAACTGTCGCATTTTGGCGTGGCCTGTGGTCAGAGCCCGTAAACCACAGCGAGGGCCCTTGGACGGAAGTTGTGGCGAGTCAGTGTGCGAGTATTACGCCCATGGACCCCGTCATCATAACGCCGGATGACGTAGCTGAGGCGGTCCGTAGAGCCCCGAACTGGAAAAGTCCGGGACTCGACGGACTGCATCACTACTGGCTGAAGGGGTTCATGGTGTGTCACGCTGTGCTCGCCCGTCAGTTTCAAGAGGCTCTCAACCAGAAGTCGCTCCCTAGCCTCTTCACTACTGGGATCACTCACTTGGTTCCTAAAGACCAGGTTACCACAGACCCGAGCAAATACCGCCCCATTACGTGTCTACCCACCATATATAAGACACTGACATCCATTTTGAGCGCGAGAATCACTCGTCACCTGGAGCTAAATCAGGTGATGTCACGCGCTCAAAATGGATGCCGGGGCGGTGGTCGTGGAACTAAGGAACCACTCCTCATTGACGCGGTCATTGGAAAAGTGATGAAACGCAACCGTCGGAACTTCTCCGCCGCCTGGATAGACTACAGAAAGGCATTCGACTCGGTGCCCCATACATGGCTAAAGAGAGTCCTCGAGCTGTACAAGATAGACTGTACAGTGAGAGACTTCCTCGAGCAGTGTATGGGGCAGTGGAGTACGATCCTTTGTCATCTGGGTGAGCGGATGATGGCTGCGGAGAACCACATAAGGATAAGAAGGGGTATCTTCCAGGGCGATTGTCTGAGTCCAATCTGGTTCTGCCTCTCCCCGAACCCTCTCAGTACCTTACTGGAGGGATCCGGGAGATGATTTCATCTACGGAAAGGAGGGACAAAAGTGACCCACCTTTTCTATATGGATGACCTTAAGTTATTCGCCTCCAGTCGCTCCCATCTTGTGGAATTGCTAAAAATCACTTGTGAGTATAGCAGTTCCATTGGAATGGAGCTGGGGACGGATAAGTGTGCTGTCCTCCATGTTGAGAGGGGAAGGGTTGCTAACTCTGAGGGCATAGATTTATCTATGCCCGTCAACTAAGGACCCTTTCCGAGGTTAAACATACCGATACCTGGGTATGTCACAGAACATCGGTATCGATGAGGCTGGTGTGAAACAGTCAGTTTGCGACGTGTTTTATACACGCTTGACCAAAGTGCTTAATAGCCTTTTGTCCGGTGTGAATAAGACACACGCATATAACGGTTGGGTCGTGCCTGTCCTTATGTATACCTTTGGCATACTCAGGTGGACTCAGACCGAACTTAACGCCCTGGATAGAAAAGTCCGCACTACCATGACGTCCCATAGGATCCATCATCCGAGATCGTCGGTAATGAGGCTGTACTTGCCACGAAAGCATGGTGGGCGTGGCTTTCTAAGCGCGCTCACTATGCATAATCGTGAAGTGTGCAGCCTCCGTCATTACTTCCTGGCGAGATCGGATGATCCATTCTATAATGACGTCATTTCTAGTGATAAAGGGCTTACCCCTCTATCCTTGACCAACGAGCAATGGCAGGACCCAGCAGTGCTTAGCATTTCCGACCGGGAGACCGTATGGAAGGAGAAGGAGCGCAACGGGAGGTACTACAGGGCTCTACATGAGCCCTTCGTAGATACAGTCGCCTCCCTCAACTGGCTACGTTTCGGTGACCTCTTCGGGGGAAACCGAGGGTTTTGTCTGTGCAATACAGGATCAGGTTATTAAGACCAACAACTATCGGAGATACATCCTAAAGGATGGCACCGTCGACGTCTGTCGAGCTTGTCGCCATCCCGGGGAGTCACTTAGACATGTCATCTCCGGTTGTTCGGCGCTTTCTAACTCTGAGTACTTGCACAGGCACAACCTAGTAGCCAGAATTCTACACCAGGCGCTCGCTCTGAAATACGGCCTCGTTGACCGGAAATTGCCGTATTACAAGTACTTGCCGGAAGCCGTGCTCGAAAATGACCGCGCCAGGCTCTACTGGGACCGGGCCATCATCACAGACAGGACTATTCTTGCAAATAAGCCTGATATTGTGCTGATGGACCGGGCACAGTCAAGGATATTTTTGGTCGACATTACCATTCCGTATGACGAGAACCTCATGAAAGCCGAAACAGATAAGCAAACAAAATATCTGTGTCTGTGACCGACATGTGGGGTGGTCTGCCGACCGAAATTATTCCTGTAGTCGTCTCTGCAAACGGGCTAATCCCAGTCAGCCTCTCGGGTCATCTGAGGCGACTGGGACTCCGTGACGGACCGCTCCGGGCTCAAATGCAGAAGGCAGTGGTCCTCGATACCGCCCGCATCGTCCGTCGGTTTCTTTCCCTTTCCCCCTAACCCTCGGCCGTTTGGTCTCCCCTGCCGAGGGTTTCCATCTGGTTGGATCTTTATTTATTTGTGTATTTTTTGTATTTATTTTATTTTATTGATATTTATGTATATTTATCTTTTCATTTTAATTTATAATTATATATTTATAGAAACCAACCAGATGAGAAAACTATACAGATACCCCAAAAATAATAATAATATTCCACAACTATCACACAACGCCATCTAGTCCCAAGCTAAGCAGAGCTTGTGTTATGGGTACTAGACAACTGATAAACATACTTATATATTTCTAAATACATAAATATTATAGATAAATTACACCCAGACACAGAACAAATGATCGTGCTCATCACACAAACATTTGTCCTGGGTGGGAATCGAACCCACGACCTCCGGCATAACAGTCAGGGTCACTAACCACTAGACCAACAGGCCTGTCGTTCAAAATCATACACACGTAAAAAAATAACAGAAATTACAGTTATTTTCTTACGTGTGTATGATTTGTTTTGTTGTTTATTTAGAGGCCACTCACCTTGTGGTTTACTCAGAAATGTTGGACCTTCAAACCAAAATTTAGAGGTAGATGTGCAGTTAACCAATTTGTTTGGTAAAACTCCCTTTGAAAGCAAATCTGCAGGGTTTTCATTACTAGGAACCCAACGCCATTTAGACTGGTCTGTTAGAGCTTGAATCTTGGTAACTCTGTTGGCTACAAATGTATTGAGCTTATGAGGTTCTGTGTTTATCCACGCTAAAGTGATGGTAGAGTCGGACCAGTACTGAATGTCGTCTATAGGTACTTTGAGTGCTGCCTGCACATCTTTCATATGTACTGCCAACAATAACGCCGCACTCAATTCGAGGCGGGGTATTATTTGAGTTTTTAAAGGTGCTACTCTGGTTTTTGCAAATAATAATCGAACTAGAGTTTGTCCTTGTGCATTGGTTGTAAGCACATATATGGTTGCCCCATATGCTTGTGTGGAGCTGTCTGCAAATCCATGTAATTTGAAAGTTATATAATTGCTTATTGTAACTACTCTGGGGATCTGTAACAATCTTAGGTATTGAAGTGAATTGTAAAATGTTAACCAATCCTTTAAAAGAGTTTGTGAAATAGGTTGGTCCCAGTACATCGTCCTGAGTCCAGCAATCTCGCATACCAAAATGCTGCCGGGCTTTAGCATGAACAGCTTGACGGGTCTTTGTCAAGAATTATTTAACTGCAATCGATGAACCTTTAAGCTTGGACTTTGACCTCCACATCGATCTAGAACTAGAGTCAATGTCAACAAACCGTACCAAGATTGGTCGTTGATGGTTTTTACTGGCTGCTCCAATCCTGTGACAAACTCTGATGCTAGAGGCTGTAATGTCTGTTAACTGCATCTTGCGAAAAATGCTCACCACAGTGGCTTTACAATCTTCCTTCTCTTCTTCAGTAACACCGAGGAAAATGAGAGCCTTACGACGATGCCTGGTTTCGATGACATCTACCATACGAAAGCACTCAATAATCTGCTTGCGAAGCATCCCAAGCATTGAGTACACGAGCTCACGGAAAGTCCGGAATTCTTCAGCCATCTTTGCAACAGTGTCTTTAGCAGGTCCCCCAGTATGCAGCTGTGCTTTCAACTCAGCCATCCTTTTAGAAAAGCATTCCTCTAGAGTATTTTGAGCAGTTCTTATTTCTTCTAGTTGAGACATTCTGTTGTAAAAATTATTCAAAGTGTGCTGTGCTGGCGGGTGGTGAATTTAAATCAGTTTACATGCACAAACATGTAAGTACTAACTAATGATGTATTTTTGCACCAAATAAATACACGAATAATGTACTTTAATGTATTAATTACTTTAAAATATATTTTTGAAAACGTAAGAATGTGTACACTTTTTTCTTCACCTACCGCCAAAAAAAAAACCTATGGTAAACCTAAAATATATGGCCGGCCCATTGCTACTTTAGCTTACTAATCAGTTGGGCGATGTCGGTTCCTCTGGTTTTACTGCGAATAGCCCATTCCTAAGTTAATCGCGCGGAAAAACCCTGAGCATAACCCTCTTCATAGCTCGCTGAGCAACTTCAAGCTTCCTCATACGGCCAGCAGTGAAGGTCTCAGATTCATAGGTCATCACTTGAAACACGTCCTGATTGTACAATCTAGTACTGTGGTATGCCTGACGAGAAGACGTGTTGTAATCTCCCGAACGCTGCCCACCCGAGTTGAAACCCTCGATTGACCTCTCGGTCGAAGTTGAACTTACCTAATCGGACTATTTGTCCCAGGTAAACATTCAAAACGATGATCATGCTTCATATTATCACAGACTTCAGAAATAGACCAAACCTTCCTTTGAAGTGATATTCTGTTCTCGGTAGCAACTTGTGTTCCGACCTATATACCAAATTTATATTTATAAACAACAATCACATTTGCCTCGGTTTGCTACTAATAAAAAATAAAAGATAAATCAAGATAGCAACATAAAAAATAGGAATCTCTTCCCAGGCTCTCAATCTTGGGCAGCTCCACGTATTCTGGAGGCAGCAACGTACCGCCTTCCATGGTTTCGAGATCAACATCCCGATCAGCTTTATCGGTGCATATTGCACTAGCTCCTAACCTTTCCAGCTTCGGCAGTGCCACGTATTCTGGGAGGCTTAATAACAATGGCCAGAATTTGTAAATAAAATCTCGAGACTTGAGAGAGAATAAAATTTCTAGACTCGCATTTACTAAATATTAAACCGCCATTGTGTTCTACCTCCACCGCAAATTGGCAGGGCCAAGGAAACGCTTTCATGCAGATCCGCGGTCTCACCAGCGCTAGCCGCCTAATGGCAGCCATTCCTTGCTGACTTCTCCTCCCCGTTTTCTTTCTCAGATAAGGCGCACCAGAAATACAAGGCACACTGCCCTTCGCGACCTCTAACTCCACCTGCACTACGGACTCCCCGCGCCCGATATTCTTTGTTTATAGGAGTAGGGGCAAACGAGCAGACGGCTTACTTGACGGTGAGTGATTACCACCGCCCATAAATAACTGCAACACCGGGGGAATTGCATCTTTTCTTTCGATATGTGAATGGAGCCAGGAAAAGATGAGCACTTGGAAGCATCAATTGGTGCAGCCTCACCTAAGTTGCGGAGGATAGCAAGGCGCATCGCCTATCGCCATACCAACACTCTCGAGTGTTGGTATGGCGATAGGCGATGTACAGGGAGAGGAATCTTCTCTAGTCGCAGCCTACTAACACACATCCAACGTAGCTCGTCATCATAAGCGACCTTTCTACACTTGGCTATGACCCTTGAGTTTGAGGTAAAATGAGAAGACAAGAAATAAAAAAAAGCATTCGAAATAATAATCTAATACTTTTGTACTTACTACTGGTACTACCAGAAAATATTGTCGGTAAACTGACTGCACTTTTTCAAAGTGGTACGGTTTTCATGTCTAATAAAATAGTCGTCTGTGAAATGCTTAGAACAAATATGATTATTCTGTTTCGGATGCCAATTCAGAATATTTATGCTTTTAAGCCATAATTTTAGCCTAGATTCAGTTGGAAACCTGTTAATTAATAAACATTTGATAAATATCCATTGTTGGCGACTTTGTTTGTTAACAGATATGGGTAGAAAATAGAACACCGATAAATATTATAGACAAGGAATTCGACAACCACATTTAATTTTACTGTTTACCACAACTCAGAAATATACAGTCAAAAATGTTGGTAATTATGATAATAAGATTAGTAACAAATTTTTTCAGTACCTATGTTATTAAATAGTTTTAATTTGTTTAATATTAGCTGCAAATTCACTTAATTGTTTAATGTTATACCACTTTCCTTTTGGTAACGAGTTTTACAGATTACGAACACTCATTATTACTAAAAATAATTCTTATCATGTAACTAAAATTATACACAGTCAAACAACATAAAATACTTTCGTTTTTTAGTTTAAAAGTTCAAATACAGATTTTTTAAATAGGACAGTTTAAATAAAACAACAGACTTTGGCATATTATGTCAATATTAGTTCTCAAGATAACCAATAGTTGCGCTTCAAATTGACACAGACATTTTGTATTGTAAATAGTCCAGCGCACTTGTATATATAGAGGTCAGTGGTCCGAATACAATATAGGTGTGTCCAAGGTAAGTCCAAAAATGTTTTTGTTGCACAAATACCAAGTAGGGCACCAATTACCACCGGCAGACTAATGTAATGATGTAATAAGAATGCACTATAATAACTATAATTCATTTCTAAGTTTTTAAGATATACTTACATAAGGTGGAGATATTTATATACTACGCTATTTTATGTAATACATATTCTGTAAGATCAGTTTAGTGGTTAGATTATTTGTCTTCTACAATTCAAGTTCTAGGTTTAAAAACTTTTTGTTTTCTCAAGTTGTGTGTGTAATTCGCATTCGACTCTACTTATACATATCTTATCGCTTAAGAGCTACAACGGATACTAATAGGTTCGAACGAGTGCGTATTTGTGTTTTCTTCTATATTTTGTCGCACAGTTGATAACTTTTGGAAATTGGTTATCGTTGTATTATATTTTTTTATATTAATATAATATTTAGTGAAAATAATCCATTGCTACGATATAAATTTGTTTTAATGATTAGATATTATATATGAATGTAATGTAATAGTCTCCCAGACCGAATTTCGGTCACGGCGTCCAGCCTCAATGGAGACTAGCCATCGGTGCAGGACAGGATTATAGTGCCCAAGTGTATTACCAAGCACAGGTGCACTTCCCTTACTCTCACAGTCCGATGAGACGATAAACCGACACGACCTGAGAAAGATCAGGCGCAGGACCAACGGCTCTACGTGCTTTCCGGGGCACGGGTGTGAGACACCGCCAACTTCCCGACTCCGGGCAGCTACAGAGAATTTTCTTGACGGCTAATTAATTTTTCGAACCATGGACCTTATGATCAGCAGTCGCACAACTATAACCACAAGACCAACGAGGCAGTCAATGTCAAATAAAAGTCAAAATCAAATGTAATAGTAATAGGAAGGCTACTTTTCAAATTTTACCATTCATGGAAAATAATCTAAATGAGATTTTTGTAACGAATCAAATATAATTTTAATTACATACTCGTTACTTGTTTTGTACGCACAATCGTGACATATTTGGATGAGAAAAAATTTGTGGAATATTACCTTAATAATAGTAGCATGATGGTGTGTACTTGTAACGTAGTAGTTACGTTAGTTCCATATTGGATCTTTAGCGTGACCATGCATTTTCATTTTTATTTGTAATTGAGAATATATATAGGTTTTAGATGTGTACGGGCTACAACTTCCACATAAAGTCAAGTAGAATGTGTGCTCTTATGTTGTCTTCATTTCTCTAAAAACTAAAACGGCAAAAAATGTTTTATTTGTCGAGCGTCAACGAATTGCGACGGTAAAATACAATTCTGCACATGAGCGCCATGAGCAAGGAAACGAGGGTTGGGCATCATCAGTATTTTAAGAACAAACCGAAGTCTCAAAAAATATTTATCCAATTATGTTATAGCTATCTAAAGTATACATGTGAATCTTATTTAATTTTTATTCAGGGTGGATGTGGTTATAAAAAATATCATTCAATAAACAAAATCTGCATAATAACAGAAGTTTAATAGGTGTTTTGTTAGCGTAATTAAAACAAAAGCAAAGTACTTAGCAGCCAATAAAACTATCACATTTGGGCACCAGACGTTCTCAGTTCCGAGCGGGATTTTGGAAAATGTTCATACACCCTTGAAATATTTTTTATTCTTCAGACATGAAAATTTTATTAACAATATTGTCATTCATTATCATTTATCAGATACGGTAACTCAACAGCGCAATCAGATAATGGTAATTCAGCACCTAATTTTGTAAATAAATTTTTTGGTACCTGTGGGGATCGAATAAGGCTTTTTTGTAACGTTAGGCTTCACGTAAGTATTTTCTTTTGTAACAGGGTGATGTTTCACATTTACAACAATCAAGTCAATATTCAATATACATCATGTACCAAAAACCCTGTGGTTCCCGTTAAATGCGTTGTCAGAATCAGTATTCAAATGTATAGAAATAACATTATTTCAAAAACTTCAACCATTAAAAAAATAATTTGAATTAACAAAGATCTATTTGCAAATTGCATGTGGTTTTATAAACGCATTGGACATGAAATACAAGATTTTTGGTACATGTTGTATCTGGAATATATACTTGATTGTTGTTGTGAATTTTTGATTACCATTACGTGTAAATTGTATCAATAACGGCCGATTTTTTAAAGTGAAAACTTCTTTAGGCACGTTGGGCACTTTTCGGATGGGGAAAATCATTGAACTCGCGTGACCATCACGCTCAGATTCACCACACACACACACACACACACACACACACACACACACATACACACACACAATATATATATATATATACATATACACATATATATATACATATATATATGCATATATATACATATACATATATATACATATATATATATATATATATATATATATATATATATATATATAGATGTGTGTACATATGAGTGTATTTTTGTATATTGTATACATAGTAGAGCCCTGCTGCAGCTATATTACTTGTATAGATGTAGCGCTAATGGGTCAGCTCGACTGGGGAAAGACCATATTTTACGCTGGTATTCATTATTTGTAATAATGAATACCAGCGTAAAATATCAGCTTAATGTTGCTGTGTTCCATATGATGAGCGTACAGAACCGAAGACCTTTCTTACTGAAAAAGAGGCATTCCATCTTAGTCCTCACGGCTGACAACGCATCTGCATTTTGAATTCACAAACGAGAATAGATGTAGATGTCTATGGGCCACAGCAACCATTAACCATCAGGTGGACTGTGTGCTCGCTTGTCACTCTTATCCTAAATTAAAAAAAAAAAGATTGATAAATATTTCAGTGTTTATTTTCCGACAGTGTGTGAGTACTCAATTACACTTAATTCATATTAGTTTAATGATTTATTAATTGCGGACTACCCTCAACAAAAATAATGACACTTTAAATTACCTACAAAATAAAATAAAACCGCAGCCGGCGTACAACAAGTAGCAGCGAGAGTAATTCGTGAAACATTAACGAGCCCGGTACCGTCAACCGCAAGCTTATCAGATGGCTGTTGTTACAAGTCATTTTGCTGTAAACGACGGGCCTAGCCGGAAGCATTTCAATTTGACAGTCATTTATTTTCTCTTCGATGTTGGTAGACTATTTTCATTTTTGGATAATTAGTTTTAGATCTTTCTAGGTAATTCTTCATTTATTCATTACTTACGGCCAGTAAAAGTCAGCATCGGCCCTCATAAGGTGGATATTTGTCTCCCCCGAACGGGTTCCGGGCGGAACAGATGCGGTGGTGGTGAGGCTGCGGGGGAGAGGAGTGTCGGTATTGCGAGGTGCCGTTCTCCTGACCCTCCGCAGCCTAACTTGGTTGGCGGCGGAGCCAAAGACCAGATCTGTCGCTGGGTTCTTCAGGGCTTGTGCTTCTGTGTGCTCGTTTCTTCTGGCCCCATGGCCTTCGTGCATCGGACACGGAGGCGTCTGTTGCGCATGTAAAGCTGGAGGCCGCGAAGGAGGATGCGTTTCGTGTTCTGGTGCGCCTTACCTGAGAAGGAGATAAGGAGGAATGGTCCTCTCCCGAGGAGGGGCCGTCATGGGACGGCCTTGCTGGTGGGACTGCGAATGTGAGCGAAAACGTTCTATGATGGAACATCATGAGGTTTGAGTCGGTGCGAGTACGATATAACCTGTTCTTACCCCTGCCATGCGGATATGCGTAGACATTTCCCATGTTAAAAAAGGTGGATATTTGTCATAGTTCCCACGCTTGGTCGGCGGGTTGGCAACCACAGATTTTAATTATGTAACTGTTAGTAGGAAGTCGCAGGTATTCTCTCTGTCGACTCTTACAAAATGTGACAGGTTACATAATTTTCAATTCGACTAATTTTTAATTCGACGACTCCGTGGTGCAGTGGCTTAGCAATGAGTGGCTGCGCTGGGGGTCGCGGGTTCGAATCCCGCACGGAACAAGTATTTGTATGGCCTACGAATATTGTTCCGAGTCTGGATGTTTGTCCTTGTGCAATTTATGTTTGTGAACTGCCCCCACGATACAAGAGAAAATCTTAGTGTAGGGGTAACGTTTCTTAAAATAAAATAGATAAAAAAAAAGATAGATGGTCCTCAGTAGACCTGACCCATTCATGCTACAATTATACAAGCAATGTAGCTGCAGCATGACTCTAACATGTATAAAAAAGCTGTCAACCATGGCACTGCACGTCAGAATCGAAAACTTCATAGGTTAACAAAAATACATACATAATACATCTGTATACATATATGTATCTAAGCGAGTTTAGTGCTTTTCCCCATCGCAAAAGTGCCCAACGTGCCTAAAGAAGTTTTAACTTCAAAAAATTGGTCGTGATTCATTTATAGTCAACGTGTAGTGGTAATGTAAGAATAACCACTACTCCATATCGTCCCGTGGATGCCGTAAGAGGCGACAGGGGGAAACTGATCAGGAGATGGCAGTCTCTTCCTGATAACAACTCAAAACTAAAAAAACTGCGGTTGCCCACCCGTCTGTCAAGCGTGAAGAATATGCCAATATTCCACTTATGAGGTCTCATGTTCAGCTGTGGACTTTTATATGCTGTAATGGAATAATGATACAATTATTGCTCAGAGCTGTCGGCTCCCATGAATTAATTTCACTGGCTGTTCAATGCTACAGTGATCGTACTGGTAGGAGTTTACAGTCCCGATAGTTTGGACACATTTTCTACTTAGTTATCATATTTTCTTCATTTTCAGATTTTTTGACAGTAAGGGTGTTTAGGGGGTAAAGTTATGTTTGACGCAGTTCTGTTAATCCTTCTTTGTTATACCTTACTATATAAACCTTTTCAAAACCTTTTAGGTAGCAAGTATGTTACTTTAATATTATAATTAAAAAAATTGGTTGACCCTACAGGCCATCCCTGAAACTTCGTGCTAAGTTTAGGCATTTTGAGCACTTCGAACTCAAAACGCCTAAACTTGGCGGGAAGTATGTTAAAAAAAAACGTATTTTTTTTTTTCAAAAATTTTCTTATTCGATATCTCATGAACGGAAAATCGATTTTCATGTTCAAAACGGCATTCGACGCAGTTTTTTAAGTTCTACAAATGAATTAAAAACACAAAATTGCTTGGTTGCGAAATCTTAGTAGAGTTATGTTAAAAAAACAAATTCTCCCTCAACCACAAAAAAACAACATAAAAATAAAAAATCTTAAAAGAGTTCAAAAGTAAAAGGTTATGAAAGGACATACTTACACAAACAACACACACACACACACACACACACATACACACATCCGTACGGACGTGAAATAAGTCAGAATAGCTTCCTGGGATCTCAAAACGTAGAGATCTGATGAAAACTTGATTTTAGAAAATCGGGGTATACATATAATCAGCTTTGATAGTCGAATCCAAAAAAGGAGCCTTCCAATTCGTAAAAAATAAAAATCAACAACATATTGTTTAATCGTAATTCTTTACCATATTGAAATATGTTCACATTTTTATGGCGCAGATTTCTTACTTTTCTTTCTTGCATTATCATTGTTTTGCCAGTTGTGATAAGTGATTTGACATTTAAATTTCAATTTTTTTGTTTAATTAATATTGTGGTGTACTGGTATCTTGTTGTTATATATAAATTAATAAATCAACTAAAATTACACCGATAAAAATAATATATATATATATATATAATATATATATATACATATACATTATCTTATATGTAGCTAAGTAGCAGTGGTATCTAACATAGACTCGTATGCACGGGAAGATCAAAATAGGAACATTTAGAAAAAAAATATAACAAATTTGCTCTTCACATATGCCGATCTTAGCTGTATATGTTATATGTTCACATTTTTATGGCACAGATTTTTTTACTTTTCTTTCTTGCATTATCATTGTTATGCAAGTTTCTCCTAAGGGAATACGTTCAGATATTGGTGTTAGGTTACATAAATATAAAACTGTCATGGCTAATGTCGTAATTTAAAATATTTATAACAAGTTACTTTGTAATACTTTAATATTTGCAATGCGATAAGCAAACATTTTTATAATAAGACAGGGAGCTGTAGGTAGTCGTAATATGACAGGGGAACAACTACAATACCTAAAACGTTGAGAAAATGCAACCTTTTGTCGGTGATTTATTGTACTTGAAATTATTTGTATAATTAGTGCATTTTTTATTAAAATTAAAGTAGTTCACTACTGTATATAGAAATACTCATTGTAGAAAGGATTGTTGACAAATAAAATTTAAATTAAAGTTAAATTAAATTAAGTTTTCATTTAGTACAATTTGTATTTTCATATCATTTCACTTCTGGCGTAAGCGTGATAATTATATCCATACCACCATCTCATGGGCGAAAATAAGATTTTACTGCTAATTCACATAGAAAAGAATTGGTGCGATGGATTTTATTATACTACCATCAATAACACGAGTAAAAACTTTGTTGAAATACCGTGAAAATGGTTTTATTCATTAAATAAATAAAGCGAAGATTAAATTTAATGACAGAAATACGATATTTAGGTATTCAAAAAAGTAAGTAAATATTATAAATAAAAATCTAACACAATTTATATTTTATATTTATCATCACACCTTATACGAATATGAAAACTTTTGTTAATTAAGCATTTCGACGGTTATAGCCGGGGTGCGTTGGACCAGTTCCCCTGTCTCCATTCGAGGTCGTGTGACTTCCACCGGAGTGTTTAGAACTGCGCGAATCGAAACTGCGAGCAGTCCTGGTGTGTGGGTCCAATCTGATGTCGTCAATGTACGGTGGTAAATATGGATGGTCTCCAGTAGCAGGCGCCCGTTCTATGTTGTCACCTTTGTATAGCCACAGGGGTTCGTCATTTTTGACTTCTCGAACAGTCCGGATAATAATTGGCCTTTGTGGAGGCGGTCTGTAAGTGGGAAGTATTATATGAGGTCGTTGACATGAAGTCTCAGTTATTATAACAAATGCAAAAATAGTTACTACAAGAGATAACTTCAACATTTTTAATAGTTGTTACTCTTATAACTTAAAACAATATACTGTTACCGTTTTGAAGCCGCGCTTATTTATATTGCGCCTCGCTCAAGGAAAAAGATTACGGTACTTTCCCAACTGATACGTGGGTTAAAGGGAATAAACAGCTTATGCATGATAGTTTCAGTTCAATAAAATTATAGTATTACGATTTTACTTATGAAATTGCCGTTTTATTGAACTGTCTACTTTCAACTGTAATAGTTAAGGTATGACTTGGAATTCTAAATTCAAATAAATTAGGAGGCATGTTATTCTTTTTTTTAATCATTTTTTTTGTTTCATTAGGTTTTGTTTCTGCAACATTGCGATATTTATAGTCATGGACTGTAAAAAAATTTAGGACCTAGCACTGCACATAATCTTAGATATATTAGACAAGGCTATTCGTAGTTTAAAATTTCTTTCCGGAAGTTTTATCTTATTCGTGGGTGTTCTACTCTTAATTAGTATACTACAGACCACTAAAAAACAATCCTTAGTGTTAGTAAACACCACTTGGGTGGTCTAGGACCTAGAATGCTGCCACAGTTTTCTAGTCATTGTTTGTAAAATCTTCTAATACAGTGACCACTAAAGGCAATATTCGAAGTGCACCTGTTTAAAATACGAAGTTATTTGGCTTTAGACGTTAGTGCCAAAACAATTTTACATCATTTGAGGAAAAATCGGCATGGGAAGAAGGTAATTTTAAGTCGAATGCTTACTACGATTATAAGTAGGTCTTATTTGACAACCGTACGCGTTTAACACAGCAGTGGTTAGATCCAGATATCCAAGCCAAACAGTGCTGAAAACGAACGAGGAGTCTAAAGAAGCTTATGGTGATAGTTTTGTGGTCTGCTGTGTGGTATTGACTATAGATTCTTGTCATCTGATATCTCGGGTATTGCTGACCGTTATTGTCAATAATTAGTCCACTCTATGAAAACTCTTTTTATTCTTGCATATTTTAACACATTTGGACATAATACTACATCGGCCTCCTTAAGAAATAAGAATTATTTAATACTAATAAACATAAAATACATTTATTACTTTTCTATCTAAAATATTATGGTTATAAAAATATGTGATACTATTTCATTTTAATATATTTTTATTATTGTGTATAAATTATTTGTTTTTTAATCTATTTTGTGCCTTCCTTGAAGTCCTTTCTGGTCGAGACTGTGCATTATTAGAAATATCATTTACAATTTTTTTGAAAATAGCTAGACGAGTGGTGCAGTCTTCATAATTATAATTTCAATCTTGGTGATGAAAGGTTTGTGTGCTCAAGCTTAATCTCGATAGGTACTCACGATTTCTCTGCAATACTCTGCCTACACCATCTCTTCACATGTAAGAGATTCAGGCCTCAGGACACTCGCTCGTTGAAGGTGCGCCCCGTTCATTGCTGTCATCTAAACACCATATACCAGCTCGGACAGACGTCCGGTTATAAGTTAATATCACGACATGGTAGTTCAGTATAGTATCGAATCTTCGACTCATCAGTGTGCCAACTGTGCAGGGCTCGCTATACCATCCCTTGGTGATGTTCTGTTGTTCAACAAAAACACATAAAAATTTATTATCGAACAATGTTTTAATAGTCCGTACTGCTCGTTCACTACGCCCATTCGATTACGGTGATGTGGTGAAGACGTAAAATGTTTAAAAGCAAATGCGTAATTTCTGTAAACGTATAAGTTAGTGCGTTATCTGTATAAAAATCTTGTGCAATACCATGCAAACAAACCACCACAAGCAAATTGTACTACAGTTTTATGTTAATAATTGATAGTATTCAGTGGAAATAACTACAAAGTTTTAAAAATAATCCACGAACAACTAAAAATATTTCTTAGTAGGTATATTCTTATATATCGGATCCACCTTTGCAGCATGGCAGCCGCTCCATGCACATTCGACATTAACGTAGGTACCGCGCTTTCGAATACATGTGACATGCCTGGCCAGATTATCACGTCACGCTCACGAAAGACGTGATCTTTTGCCCTTATCGATACCAGATGACCCTCATAAACTCGACTCTGAATTTCTACTCTCAGTTCCTTCGTGATATAGCTGAATGATTCATGAAAAATATGTCATCAATATATTCAAGGGATAACTCTAATGTTAACGCACACGTTAATCCATGTCGAATTTTTAATTGGTTCATCATCATCATCATCATTACAGCCCTTCACAAGTCCACTGCTGAACATAGGCCTCCCCCAAGTAATGCCACAAAGCACGGTCCTGAGCCACCTGCATCCATCGACTTCCTGCATATCTTACCAGATCGTCACTCCATCTAGTGGGGGGTCGCCCTACACTACGCCTACCGGCACGAGGCTGCCACTCGAGAACCTTTCTTCCCCATCGGTTATCGGTTCTTCGAGCTATATGGCCGGCCCATTGCCACTTCAGCTTACTAATCCGTTGGGCTATGTCGGTCACTCTGGTTTTACTGCGGATATCCTCATTTCTGAGTCTATCACGCAGAGAAATTCCGAGCATAGCCCTCTCCATAGCTCGCTGAGCGACCTTGAGCGTCCTCATACGGCCAGCAGTGAAGGACCACGTCAACACGCACTGGTTGTACAATTTAGTTTTTAGAGATTGAGGTATACCTGACCAGAAGATATGTCGTAATTTCCCGAACGCTGCCCAGCCGAGTTGAATCCGTCGATTGACCTCTCGGTCGAAGTTGGACTTACCTAGTCGGACTATTTGTCCCAGGTAAACATACTCGTCAACAACTTCGAAATAGTGCTCCCAACAACTACCGGCATAGGTGTGACATGGACATTAAACATGATCTTTGTTTTGTCCATGTTCATCTTAAGACCTATCCGTTGGGATACACCACTGAGGTCATTGAGCATAGTGCTAAGGTCCTCCAGCGATTCTTCCATAAGGACTATATCGTCGGCAAATCGAAAGTGAGTGATGTACTCGCCATTGATGTTAATACCGTATCCTTTCCAGTCCAGTAGCTTGAAAACGTCTTCCAAAGCAGCGGTGAAGAGTTTCGGGGATATAACGTCACCCTGTCTTACACCTCTCTGCAGTTGGATAGGTTTCGAGCTCTGGTTCTGTACTCGGATAGCCATCGTAGCCCTACTGTACAAACACTTCAGCACTTCGATATACCGACAGTCAACTTGGCACCGCTGAAGGGACTGCAGCACCGCCCAAATTTCGACGGAATCAAAGGCTTTCTCATAGTCCACATACGCCAGGCAAAGTGGCAAATTGTACTCTTCAGTCTTCTGTACAATCTGCCGCAGGGTATGTATGTGGTCTATGGTACTGAAGCCTTTTCGGAAACCGGCTTGTTCGGAAGGCTGGAAGTCGTCGAGTCTGCGTGCGAGACGATTCGTAATGACTCTCGAAAACAGCACGTAGACGCGGCTCAGAAGGGGAAATCGGTCTGTAGTTCTTCAAGAGAGCGTTGTCGCCTTTCTTAAAGAACAAGACCACCGCACTTCTGCTCCACGCCTCTGGAGTAGTGCCACCATGGAGGACGGCATTGAAGAGCTTCTGAAGGACTTCCAGTACCGGTGTTCCACCCGCTTTCAGAAGCTCCGCTGTAATTCCATCCTCGCCTGGGGCCTTGCCGTTTTTAAGGTGCTGGAGAGCCATTCTAATCTCGCTTAGACTGACGTCCGGGATATCATCGGAATAGTGTCGGATAAGACTTGCTCTTGGATCGTTACTCACACTTGCGTGTGGCTCCAACGATGATGTGTACAGCTGCCCATAGAACCTCTCAATCTCACTAAACATCTCAGGTGTCCCGAAAACGATGCTGCCACATTCAGTCTTCAGCTTTGACAGTTGGCTCTTTCTGGCAGACAGATCTCTGGCAAAGACTTTGGAGCCCTGGTTCCGCTCGATCGCTTCTTTAATACGAGCAGTATTAAAGTTGCGTAAGTCTCGCCGCATGCATTTGGAGATCTGTCTGTTCAGTTGCCTGTATGCTGTCAAATCTGTTGACGATTGCAGCCTCATCTTCCGTCTAACAGCCATGAGATTAAGAGTGTGATCGGAGAGTTTTTGTGTTCTTCTGCGGTGGGTCTTGCAGAACTTAGCTCCGACCGCATGGACAGTTTCCACGAGCTTGTCATTAATATCGTCCACTGCATTGCAATCTTGTAGGCACTGAAAGCGGTTGTGTAACTCGAGCTGAAAGTTTTCGGGATTCTGGATTAGAACACGAGGGGGACGGAGCGTTGACTTCATTAGACGAGACCTCTCCAACTTAACGTTAGGTTCAGTGTGCCTCTAACCATTCGGTGATCGCTGCCAGTTTTCACCCTTGCGATCACTGAGACATCACTGAACAGTTGGCATCTGGTCGTCATAATGAAGTCAATCTCATTTTTTGTCGAATCGTCGGGGCTCGACCAGGTCCACTTCCTGTGGGGCCGCTTCTGGAAGAAAGAGTTCATCATAAAGAGTCCCTCTTTCTCCATAAAGTCGGCCAGCTGCTGGCCCCCTTCGGTTCCGTTGCCCTACTCCAAATTTCCCCTAACTTCAGCTCACCGCTTTCTCTTGTGCCTAGTTTTGCGTTGAAGTCTCCCATCACCACCGTGTAGTGGGTTTTGGAGGAATGCATGGCTTTGGAAATATCCTCATACATTTCCTCTACCTCCTCATCGGTATGTGCCGAGGTTGGTGCGTAAACCTGTATGACCTTCAGCGAATACCGTTTGGTGATTCTGAGTATCAGGTACGCGACCCTCGTCGACACACTCCCAATCTTTACAACGTTGTTGACGAGAGACTTGAGAGGAGCCGTGGTAGCTCAGTGGTTAAAGCTCGCTGTAAATATAACAGAACGCGAGAGTAACCCGGGTTCGATCCCCCTCCGGCACCAATGAAATTGTTAATTGCAATTTTAAGTGCTGATTTACCACGTGCTCGGCGGTGAAGGAAAACATCGTGAGGAAACCTGCATGTCTGAGGAA